TTACAGAGAGGAAGGGAGAGGGATAGAGAGTTAGAAACATTGATGAGAGAGAAACATCAATCAGCTGCCTTCTGCACACTCCCCACTGGGAATGTGCCCACAACCAAGGTACATGCCCTTGACCGGAATCGAACCTTCAGTCCACAGGTCGATGCTCCATCCACTGAGCCAAACCAGTCAGGGCAAGGGAATATATATTTTTATGCTAAGAACACAGGACATTTAGCTGTAAATACAGGAAGAAAAGCATTTTGCAAAACAACATGTATAGTATTTTTTTTAGAGAGAGAGAGAGAAGGAAGGGAGGGAGGGGAGAGAGAAAGAGAGACATCAATTTGTTGTTCCACTCATTTATGCATTCATTGATTATTTCTTTTTTAAAATATATTTTTATTGATTTCAGAAAGGAAGGGAGAAGGCGAGAGATAGAAGCATCAATGATGAGAGAGAATCGTTGACTGGCTGCCTCCTGCATGTCTCACACTGGGGATCGAGGCCACAACCTGGGCATGTGCCCTGGCTGGGAATCAAACCATGACCCCCTGGCTCATAGGTCAACACTCAACCACTGAGCCATGCCAGCCAGGTTCATTGGTTACTTGTTGTATGTGCCCTGACTGGAAATGGAACCTGCAATCTTGATTGTCAGAATGTTGCTCTAACCACTTGAGCTATCCGCCAGGACTGTATAGTATAGTATTTTTGTTTAAATAAAAAAGGTTATAAATGAATACTCAAGTTGAAAGGATATACACCAAACTAATAGCAACAGCTGTAGTTACTTCAAGGGATTGAGGAGGGAGGGATGGGGTATAGGAAAGGAAACCTCCATTGGAGTATTCTATACAGAGAACTGACATGATAGGAATTGCATTTTTTTAAAAATCCTCATCTGAGGACATTCTTCCATTGATTCTTAGAGTGGGAGAGAGAGGGAAAGACAGACAGAAACATTGAAGAGAAAGAAACACATCAATTGGTTGCCTTCTGCATGCACCCTGACCAGGGCCTGGGCCAGGGAGGAGCCTGCAACCAAGGTACGTGCCCTTGACTGGAGTTGTACCCGGGACACTTCAGTTGGCAGGCCGACACTCTATCCACTGAGGCAAACTGGCTAGGGCAAGATAATAGAAACTAGGAGTAAGGTTATTACATAAAATTAAATGCCTTAAGTCAAATAAAATTGTTAGTGCAGGTAGTAATATTTGCTGAGTTTTCTATGCATAAAATAAAGTGTGAAGTATGATCAGCCACAATGTTTATAGTGTATGTAGATTAAAAACAAACCAGCTGCTCAAGGGTAACAATTTTTCTTAACAATGAGCCTCTAGAAAAATGTCACCTATTAATTTCATGAAAGAGAAATTACACAGAGGGCTGAAATGAACTTCAAGGTGCATATAATCCCCAGAAAGTGACTAAAAAGACAAAATGAGTCAAGTACATGTAAAGCAACACCATATGCCGAGAGTGGGAATATGGATAGGATAGGCAATTTGGTGGCTTGAGAAAGAATGGAAAGCAACACCATATGCTGAGAGTGGGAATATGGATAAGATAGGCAATTTGGTGGCTTGAGAAAGAATGGAAAAGATGTAAAAAAGCCATTTTTAAAAATCACAGCTTTTACTAAGAGGTGAATTGACAGATCAGATGAAACTATATAGCAGTTAATCTGTCTTCCTGACTATGATTATTCTGTAGCAAAAATAGAATGGCTCAAGCTCAGCATTGCAGGTTGTGTCAAGTCAAAAGGTGAGAGGATTCTGGAATAACAACTTATCTAAGGACAGGAAACTTTATAATGCTTATATTACTTGTACACATCCACAGTCAGTAAGTAATAATTCAATTAAAATAACAAAGGGCAATTTTTTAAATGGTTGATCATGCCATATATGGGCCAGGCAGGATAAGAAGTCAAATGAAGTCATAAGGGGTTCATGGATTCTAGAATATGAACAATCAAGTTTTCAGCATCAGGAGACATATAAAGAAATGAGAAGTAGGAAGTGAAGAGGGCTAGATCACTGAAGCTAAGCAGTGCCGGCGGAGAGGAGCAGCAGCACAGTGCAGAAGGAATTACACAGCACTAGAATCTACAGTTCAAAACCTGACTGTACTGCCAAAGAGCATTTAATAAGGAGGATTTTAAAAATATTCTGTCAAGCAAAAAGGTTGAAAAAACCCAATCCCTATGTCTTTTCTAGGAATGAAATTAAAATTTATAATTATGCTTTTCTCCAACTACACTGACATTTTAGAGACAATGGGAAAAATTAAAAATAAAAAGCTGTTAAAATATGTTTTGTTTTTCATATCAAATCATTTTTTTCTAGAGAAGTTAATTAATATAAACAGATTGCAAGGCAGATGAGTTCCAAAAGGTATATATAATTATTTTAAATACATCTGACTACTAATAAATGAATGCAGATGAAGTATCTATGGTTTATCTCTTTCTAATGAATATTTGTCTTTTAATACGCACACAGAACTCCAAAATTTTACACACTTCTCTGCCAGGTGAGTAAGATTTATATTTAGAAAATTAACAGTATTTTCCAAGAAAACTGAATTTCTTTTAAACATTTCAGGAAGTGAGTTGCACTGCTGAAATACACGCTTGAACATGTTTCAAATATTTTACATATAAATAAATGGAAAATAGGGATTGGAAAATTGAGTAACATGCTTTTGTTTGCCATAACCTTTAGTAACCCTTTACTGGCTAAACACACAAATTCCTGGAAGGTTTATCACTTAAAATTGTTTTTGTTTTCTTTCATAATTGCTTAGTTTTCTGATGATAAAAATAAAACATGATGTTTTGAAAAATAAAAGAGAAAAAGGAATAAAACCTCAAACATAAAACATTAGAGAAATGTATAACTTTCAAGTTTCCTATAATTTCATCCGCTATAGCCATTGTTTACATTTTAGTAAATATTATGAAATATTTACTTTTACCTTAACATTTTTCTGAATAGACAGAGTCAGTATTAGAAAAGAAGAAAAAACAGAACCCTGAAATCTCCCCCCGCGCCCCAATTTAAAAGGCACACACACAATGTGAATTTCCTGGCTTTGATAATATAATATAGTTGTGTGAAATCATTTGGGAATCTGGATGATGGGAACATCGAACTCTTCTATACTATTTTTACAACTTCTTCTGAGTCTATAATTATTTCAAAGTAAAAAGTTAAAAATTGAGGAACAGAGGAGTTAAATAATTTACTTTAGGGTAACACTATTACAGAATAACATTTAAGCATAAATATATGAGATGAAAATAGTAACTTAGCGATTAACTAAAATCAATTCCTTCAATTTGGATTCATTCAGAAACATGTAGCCACATGCTACATAAATGAATAAGATAGTCGCTGCTCTAAAGGAACCTTCAATTTAGTAGGTCTTCACTTATTGAGGACCTGCCATATAGACTCTGTAGGCAAAGGTTTAAAAAAATTAAATCCTTACACTCAAGGGAAAAATAAAAAGTTTTCAATCATCTATATACTAAAGAGCTAATACGCTAATTAGACAGAACCGCAGAATGACCATCTGACACGATGGTCGTCCATTCTGGATGAAGCTGGGCTGCCAGGGCCGAGGCAGCCAGGGCTGCGAGGGCCGAGGCAGTTGGGGCTTGGAGAGCTGAGCCCCTTGCACGAATTTTGTACATCGGGCCTCTAGTATTCCTATAAATATAAATAGGTGAGCACATACACATATGCAACTCCAATTTGTGAAGTGCTTTCATACAAAAGAAACAGTCTAATTTTCTATTTATTTATGAAATTTTAAAAATGAAGTGAGAAAGATAAACTATTAACTAAATTAAAGTCTTAGTGCCAGTCCACAGTGGGTACTTTTCCCTCTTTGACTACTCTTATAATTCACGGTGTGTGATATACTTTAGTACTTGGGTAATATTGTTCTCAGTCATTACCTGAGTACCTTTTATCTCCATTGGTATTTTGAGCTTATTAAGAGCTGTATTTCCTTTCCAAAACCATATGTCAGAGCACATAATTGGTAATGAATAAATGCTAGTTGACTTGTACTCTGCCATCCACATGTTACTTTCATAAAAAATTAGCTGTAATATTTATAGGACACAGAAATTTATTAAATTTGATGTAATTAGTAATTGTGGGATTACTAAATATAAAGTGCAAGACATTTTACTAGACATCTTACTATATAATCCTAAAACATTAAGAGATAACACTCGGAGGGAAAGCAGGGGAGGGTGGGGGTGAGGAAGAAAGATCAACCAAAGGACTTGTATGCATGCATATAAGCATAAGTGATGGATGTGGACAACAGGGGGTGAGGGTGAGGGCAGGATTGGGGGATGAGGGGACATTGGGGGGATAAGGACACATTTGTAATATCTTATTCAATAAAGGAAAAAATAGAGATAATGATATAGGTAACAAATCACTAGTGCAGCTAAATAGCTGAAAGCTATGCCACTAAAGAAAGTTGTTTCTTTAAAAAAAAAAATCTCTCTTCCCAACTATTGAATATCCTGCTTGTCCAAAGGAAGACAATACCTGTTTGTCAACTGTAATCCTATAAGAAATTATTTTCTAATATGAGTTTGAATATAATGAAGGAATAACTTCTGGTGCCAGAAGCCGGTCTACCCTTGCTGCTTGACACAGTCGCTGCAGGGAAGAAACATCTGCACAGCTTATGTTTCAAGAGACGTGGCGTATATGGCATATGCTCCCCTTCTTAACGCTATGTGTTTTAAACAGGATCACCTCCCCGAGAAAGGTTGTTCCCCCAGGTGAGGATTTTTCCCTGAAGTTAGGAATTAACAGGACTAAGGAAAGGAATCAGTAAAACCCC